AATAAAAAAGAATAAAATATTAATGAAAATAAATAATAATAATAAAGTATTCGACGTGAATTCAGCCCTGTAAAAAAGATTTCGCGTGCATCAGAAAAAATCTGTTAACATTTGGTCAGCTACGATTTCAAGCTCACGCCCCCTCATGTGAGCCCATACAAATTGTGTCTCAAAAACACGGTTTTTGGATCTTTTCTCAAAATAATGACTATCTAGGCAAAACACAAAAGTGGATTCAGTTAATTCAACTATTCACGGACTGTATTATATGGTTTACATTTAAATTGTATTGAAAAAAACCACCGTACTTTTTGAGTTGAATGTACGCTATTGGACGTATTTTACAAGAGAAAATGCATGACATAACCTGGGTCAAGCTAGAAAATCGTCTCTCCTTGATATAAAACAGAACCTGTCAAAAAAACTGAAGTGGATTTGAAAACTCCGGGCTTTCCTGAACATTTTGGTATATAATTCATAGGAATTTGTTAAAATTTAGAACCGTGTTTTTGTTGATTTTATAAGCTTATACTATCTGTTGGCCTATACATTCGCCTCTTATGGTTTCTTAGGTTTCGTAGCCTCGAAAACACGCTAACTACTAGTTAGCAAAAAAAAAACAAACCAGAAGATTTACAGGGTTTAGGATGTTTTGTCACGCCGTTTACTTGTACTATATAACTTTACTTTTAAGAACAACCTTTTGCTTTGGAAAGAGAGGAAAAAGACCGAAAAGAGCAATTTTTTCCAATGACAAGGTAGGGCAGCTTTACTCTTTTGTTTTTGGAGTCAGTCCGGACACTTGGGAATAAAAACAAAAGACTTGTGCGTCCCATGCATATCTGATGTGAATGTTATCTGAAATCCTGGGTTTGTCTTTGAAGTATTGTTCTCCTTACTCTTAAAACGAGGGATTTCGTTTTCCGCGCCGGTTCCCTGGCTGAGTCTAGCTTCACACAGGGAAGGAAAAAAATAATTAAACATTCAAGTGATTTAGAAAACCTTCTGTTTTTTTTTTGTTTTTTCTTCTTCTCATAACGGAAAAAAAATTATAATCTAATAAGATAAGAATTCCATTTAAAAATTTCCTCCTTAAAAA